CTTTACGGAGGAAACGAATGCACATTTCGTGGGGTCCTAAATATATGAAAAGAATTAATATCATTTGATCTTATGAAATATACCAATGATGTTTCATCTTTAAACAGAGTATTCTCTTCGAGATCATGGAAAAACTGATTTACGGTTCCGTGGCATGTTACTCTAAAGAGTTCCTCGTAAGCATGCTTAACGCCTCCGGTTCTTGCAGCCATTTGAAATGGTAATTTTCTGAAACGGAAGGCGTGTTGAGGATGAACCAGTTTCAACTTACTCAACAGGTAAACCCGAATCTTTGAAGTAGGAGAGAACTGCACCTCTATGAACTGCAGCTCCTTGATAGAAAACAACTTTAACTAATTTTAACTGCTGGTTCCATGTTTTCAAGAGAGTTCTGATATCACTGTCCATTTCTTTAGCATTATATCTTCGAAGGTTCGTTCCAGCACTCCCTTTGGTTCTGTATCCGCTCTCATCATCATGACGAATCTGAGACTTTCCTGCTCCTCGAACAATATAACGATGAAAACGTTTGTGAGCAACCAGCTCTCCTCTATAATGCATTTGCTTATCCTTGAAAATGGTTCTAAAACTAACTCAAGATAACAACCCATGGCACAATCATCTCCTGATATGATCAAAATAACACAATTTATAAATAACTTGTGCTTAGTATAGAATATACTATCATAGTTATTCAAATGAATAGATGTCAATCTGTAATTATATATTATTATTCGAATGTTCAGACACTTTCAAATCTTACTTGTTGATACTATATATATTCTTGTCATACATACTATAAAAGAAAATGAGATTCTTGGCCTTCTCCCGCGTCTCTCGGTCATCTGAATAGTTTGATTAAGAAGATTTAGATGTCAAGTGAGATATATACCTATGATTAAGTTAAAATTCTCATCCAACAACCGATAGGTATTTTTATAAAACTTTACATTCTCATCATAATGGAACTGAGGATTCTGATTTAAAGCTTCATAGCAAACATAGTAGTAATACTGGAGATCCGTTACAGGAATATTTTTCTTATAATTCTTTGAAATCGACATTATTTACAGAAAACTGAAAATTAGAAAAATTAGTAGAATAATATGTGAGGAATGAAAGAATATGTAAGACAAATGGAATGTTTTGAACACGGTTCTTGTCCAGCCTTATATACGGGCGCGAGATGTTGGCCAACAACTGCGAAAGATTGCACAACCGATGATGTCATTACAGCTGAGATCGATGTGTTCGCAATGAGTCATCATAGACTTCTATGGGTGAAAGCAGATAATAACTGTTTCTAGCGTGTAGATTTTTTTCGGAAACTCAAAGAAAACATTGAATTATTTAAATTCTTGAAAACTCTTTCTATGTGATGAGGGAAAGCTGAAAGCCATTATGAATCTCAAGATGTTGTGTTGAAGAACTTCGCATACGTTTCCCTCATTTCATTTATTTTCAGAAATGCCTAAATCTGTTTCTATTCCGATTGCCTTGAGTGAGCTTAAAAGAACATCTTTCCAAAGGTTAAGCTCAAAAAAAGGAAAGAAAGAGGAAAAGAAGCCGCCAATGGATATGCCAATCGGAAGATTTGTCATTCTTGTTCAAGAAACAGGCCAAGATCAAGTTCGATTATTCAGTAAGTTCCATAGAATGCAAATTATATTATTATGTATTTATTTGCTGTGATAGATGTGGGGTTCGAGCATATCTTAATCCGGTCTCTCTTTGTCTTTCTATTATCCAAAGATGACAGCTAAAACTAAGAAACAAGCAAATGTTCAATATGCATTATCAATGTTTCAAACTTTTTCATTCATTTTCCACATGCTCTAACTTCAGCTTCATTTATGTACTTATCCATCAAAAGCATGACGGACCGTAAAATTGGCTCGAAAAAATGAGATGAGCTTCTAAAAACTTTTAGTGTCGCATAAGAGAATGTAGATTTTAAGAGCTACTTCCAGGTGGCAGCCCGAACTTGGACATCGGAGACGAAATTATAGGAATCAACGACGTTCAAGTGAGCTTCAATCACCTTCGAAGTTTCCATAACTTTTTTTATTTTTCAGATTCTTGGAAAGAAACGTGAAGAAGTTCTAGAATACGTTCAAGAGGTATAAAAAATGAAGTTCCCTCCAAATATTTATCGTGTTTCAGTGTATTCGAAAAAAGGTTATCCAACTTAAAATACGTAGAAGATTATCGACCATAGTAGCTCCAGGTTTATAACACTTTAAAAATTAATCAAAATTTTTCATTGGATGTAGGTGTTGTTGAAGGGCCTTCAACATCGAATCCTCTCATCACAGACGCATTTCTTGTTTCCGTTGATAAAGAAAATACAAAAGAGCTTATCGACAAGTTGGAAAGGTAACACTACTCTTGAAAATTGAAATACACTCGTCGCACTTATAATTTTCAAAGATTTTTGTTAAAAGTAGATGTGAATCCGAGTGATGGCTATCGCTCTTAGTATTCTGTACTAATGGCTCTCTCTCTCTCTCTCTCTCCCTCTCTCTCTCTTTTACTCATCTCCTCTTCACATGCGGCCGTTTTCTATTTTTACTCACTTAAAAGGAACTTAGTCTACTTTTGTTTAGAATTATATTAGTATTTCCTTTTAATTCCAGAAGATACATGAAAAACAATCACTTTTTACATATTCCATTCAAACAGTGACCTTGTACCTAGCATGAATGAACAAAATTCTCAACCACATCCATACGAGAATTCCTATTTACCCAATGTCCGTATGATTGGTTTAATTTTTTATTTTTTTTATTCCTCCTCTCTCTCTTTCTCTCCCCCTTTTCCCGTTTCTTCAAAAAAAAAAAACAAATGAAAAAAACGTTTTTAACCTGCCTTTTATTTCATCTCGTTTTTTAACCATTTTTTTTCAAGGATTCAATAGATGTTCGAAGATAATTATCCCCCCTTCCGTCCTCTCTCTATCGTTTTCTCTTTCTCTCTCTCTCTCTTACCCTTTTGATCTGAAAATTCAATTCGCTCAACAATGAAGATTCAATACCTCGAAGTCATTTATCATTTCTCTAATTTTTTCTGATTTCTTCCATTTAATTTTAATGACTTTCATAAGAGTTTTTCTCTTCGTTCGTTGATTTCAAACAGAAATTTCATTTTTTAAAGTTCCCTTATCCGATCCTTCTATCTTTTCCCTAAAAGGCATGTTCCACGCCTTAATCCTCACACAAATTCAATTTTTCTCTTGTTTTAACCTTTTAATTATTTTTTTGTGATAATCTAATCAATATTTTTCTTGAAACTCATCTTGTTCAAATATGGAAGGAATGGAGTTAGAAAGAGGAAGAGAAAGATAGAGAGAGTGAGAGTGAGATGTATAAAGGAGAGAGACAGAGAGAGAGAGACAAGAAAAAATACCGAAAGATGTTTTTTAGGATATCGATTGGTATTGAAGAAATAAATCGATTTTACCTTATAAAATCAAATGCAATTGACATTTATTTTACTCTCTTAACGTCGTAAAGCAATTGCCGTTCGATTGTTATGAATACTTTTACAATTCATTTCATAATCATTTTGATGTTTCGGTCGTCCTCATCGCTTTATTAGATGAAATGTCTGTATCCATCCTTATTTGGATAGGAATTACCTCATGATTAGAGGAAAATTGGCTATCGATTATGACCTTCATCCGTTATATGTGGTTCATGGTTACCTGAACAATACTGTTCTCCTTCTCTATCCCCCCCACCATTTCTCTCTTTATCTACATCTCTCTCTTTATTTCTCTCTCTCTTTCTCTCTTAAACTTTTTTCCTGTTCCATTAAATCTTTTCAAAATCTTTGTTTTCATTAAATCTCCTTTTCATATCCTATATGATACTGATGTTCACGTAACTTTCACGTGAACTTTTTTTCATTTTCTCTCAAACGAACACGGTGAGCGGTTGCATTCATAGTCATTTCTTGCAAATGGACGCTTACGAATGGTTGTGTTTTTCTTTTCTTTCTAGAATGGAGATTATTGTAAACGAGAAGCTTTTTGAAATAATTGAAAAAACAAAGCCTTTGTTTGTTTTTGATGAAGAATATCATCATAGTTCATATAACATTTCAATCTCCTTTAGGCAAAAAATCCAATTTGTGTTTAGAAAGGTTTCCAAATACGAGAAGAAGCGTTCGAGAAGTAAACCTTATCAATTATCTATTTTTTTTATTAATTTTTAATAAAATTTATTGCTGTTAACTGAATGATGCTGATGTCGTCGCAAATATGAGCAAGATTCGTCTTTCTTTTCATTTTCTTGTCTTCCTCTTTTAATTTTAAGTTTGTTGTTCAATATTCTTTTTTCTTTCGTAATTATTCTCCCCTTTCCTTCTTCCTTTTTTCCCTCGAGACTACAAAATACTTTTTCTCTCTCTCTCTCTTTGTTTCATTACTCTTTTTCCTTTGCCTTTCTTTTTCTCTCTAGCTTGATAAGCATCCTCAAAGTCCATACTGATCTTTTCCTACCTCCTTCAACACATTAAGAAATTCATTGAGGCTCTTCACATCCTTTCTTTAGGCTTTTCTCTTCATACTTCTAATTCATTTTCCTTTTTCCTTCTCATTTCTTATTTTCCTTCTCTGTTGAACTTTTTATACAAATTTACTTTCATCTCATGGCATTAGTTATTCTTCTTTGACTCATCTTCAACGTTTTTTTTATTTAAGACTTTTCTTTTCCCATCCATTGAAAACTTATGGAACATGTTCTTCCTTTTTTGAATTTTCACAAATCCACCTCCAGACTAAGTGAGTCATTTCATACAACTAACACGTTTGATTGTCTTCTTATCAGATAATCATTATTCTCCTTTTTTAGTATTTTTTGATCAATTTCGAAATTCAAAAAATACTATACTTCATTATCCTCGTGCTGGTGAGCAAGTTCGGCTTTGATGTTTTCCAAAGTTACTGTTCAATCGTAGAGTAAAGTACTTCTTGCTTCTTCACTCACATATCTTCTCTATCTCTACCACTCCCTCTCTTGACCATCTACTATTTGATACTTTTTTAACTGGTCAGAAGCTTATTCGCGCTTTATATTTGACTAAACTAACATTTTCGATACCTCCGTAGACTCTTAAGAGTGCCCCTTGCTTCTTCATCGTAACAAGTAAATATGTAGAATCAACTTGAATAATACATTCTATGTGCGAGTCTGTCATGTCCAACTGTTTGATAAAACATACCATTGTTTTTAATTTTTAAATTAAAACTGAACTTTGTGGAATGTTTCTTGCTATGAGATGTTACTGTTAGTCATTCTGTAATATTTCAGGCTTTATCCTTCTATCAGAACGTTTGATATGGAAAGTATCGCTGTGGGAAAACCACTATCTTCAATCCAGGTATGAAAAGGAGCAGCTGAAGAAGTAATAACCAGTCGTTTAAGAGTACATCCTTAACTGAAGAGAAACGGCTGAAGCAATATGAGAATGAGAGACAAGAAAGGCTAAATACTAAACTGCAGAGACAGAAGGAGAATGAGTTTTTGAGGTTTGCTGAAACTGTAGAACAGTTATACGATGCGGCTATTTAAGAAAATCTTTGCGATCATCTAAAAAGTTGAAATCACTGGCTATTTCGAAGGAGAACAGTCCGAATATTGCATCGGATATTACAGATGTAGCTGGTAAAAGCTATGTGAATGAATCATGTGATGAAAAGGAGGATAATAACAACGAGGCCATTCGTATGTTTTTCTTCCTTTAAATATTGTTTTCTGAATAATCTGTTAAATGTTTTTCCTTCTCTCTCTCTCTATCTCTCTGCTTTTCCTTTTGTACTTGAATGGTTCTTTTGCGACGTGTTCGATTATCTTCTTGCGTTTTCATCAAAATGGATACGCTCTCTCAACTCTATTGCTTATCATTTAAATAATTTCATCTTCTAATTCATTCCATCTTAATGTTTTCTTTATATTTTCAGCATTGAATCAAGTTATTGTGTCTGTTGATAGATTAACAGATCACCTATCTCGTATGGCTGGGAATGAAGATGATGTCAAAGTTCTTCGAGATTTCTTCCAATCTCAACCCATACAAGAGGCTATCCAAGAGACTGCTAGTAGACGCGGAGGGGAGAATACGGTAGATCCTTGATTAATCTTTTATAAACTTTACTATTATCATTTTTTTCTTTTTACTTCCTTTCTCACCCGTCTTATCAAATGTTTTGCTCTCAATCTCTCTTCATTTGCATGTTCAGCTTCATCCCGTTCAATAGTTATTATTCCATTTTTCCCAACGCATGTACTGATCTTCATCACAAATCTCAATAAATGTCACTCTATGCTTTTTAAATTCAATATTAATCAAATTTCATTTCATTTTTGTTGAAACAATATGATTTCAGTCTTCTTTTCAGTTTTTTTAACTCAAATTTGTGCTGTGCTTTTGTGTGATTTGACGTGTATATTTTCTAGAAAAACCGAGACTCTTCTGCTTCCAATCAAGTGCAAAATGCTTCTGAGCCTAATATATCGTCCAGCGACAGTAGTGTTCGTGTTGTCACGTTTCATAAGGAGGAAGATACCTATCTAGTAAGTTTGATAAACCTTCTCATTGCTTAATACATATTAATGTGTGTTATTTGTGAGTTGACAGTAACGTATTCTTTGCTGTGTGTAAACTTTAACGCTTGAAGGGTGCCACAGTTCGAAATGAAGATAATCGTATCATCGTAGGACGAGTAGTTCAGGGAGGAATCGTGGAAAAGACTGGCCTTTTCCGACAAGGTTTCTCATCATTTCACTATCTCATTGTAACTATCTGAAAATAGGCGATGAATTGCTGGAGATGAACGGAGTAGAACTGAGAGGAAAGAAAGTTGGAGAAGTTTGTGAGCTTTTGGTTTGTGAAACGCTTCATGTTCATTCATCTGCTTCTGTCTTTTGCAGAGGAATTTAAGCGGTGAAGTACGCTTTGTGGTTTCGTCTTCAACTGAAAATGGCGAGGAAAAACAAACTGGTCCTGCAACAATCCAACATTTCCGCGCTTTGTTCGATTATGATCCCGAGGTACAAAGAGTTTTAATTTGAAAATTAATTGAACTGAGCCTCATAGGATGACAAATACATTCCTTGTAAAGAATTAGCTTTGAAATTTGAACGAGGCGATATACTTCATGTCTTAAACAAAACGGATGAGAATTGGTGGCAGGCTTATCGGGAGGGCGAAGATACAATTCATCAACTTGCCGGATTAATTCCCAGCAGTTCATTTCATCAACAGTGAGTTCTGGTATTTCTTACTTGTCTGAAACAAAAAAAAAGAGAAAAATGGAAGTGGATGAGACCATTTAGAATGCAGCCACGTCAGAAGATTAACGAAGTACAAATGAATTTCAAAATTAGAATATTCTCCGTCATTCCACAATATGCTAATCATATTATTTTCTTTCTTTTATGATCAAATTTAAGGGTTGTTATGTACACTGAAGAAATAGATAAGGAGTTCAGACCTAAAAGAAAAAACCCTAATAAACTCATCCCCGAGGTAAACATTGAAGTGGAGATCGTTTTGGAAATCATCTTTTGATAGGTCATACGAACGCTAGGAAGGAAATCTGGAAGAGAAGTTCAGAGAAGTGTAGATGAAGGTGGTACATCCAATACATTCGGATTTCATTCCGGTTGGCAACTTCTTAACATCTCATTCTCATCAATAGTTGTGTTTAGATTTACTAACATATGAAGAAGTAGTTTATCATTTATCGCGGTCAGACCATCACCGTCCACTGGTTTTGTGTGGTCCTGAAGGAGTAGGATGTTTACTGCTAAGACAACGTTTGTTGGAGTCAGATACTCAGAGGCTTGCTAGTCCTGTTCCATGTAACAGTTTCAGTTTTAACAATTCCATAATCATTGAACTTGTAGATACAACCAGAGAACCGCGAGAAGGAGAAATCGATCACGTTCATTATCATTTTATTTCAAAACAACAGTTCATGGAGTACTCAAGAGCTGGAAAATTTGTAGAATTTGGAGAGTATCAGAAGCATATGTATGGAACAGCTAAGCAAGACATAATAAATGTCATTAATCGTGGAAAAACGTGTATTTTTACTTTGAAACCTGAGGTAAGGACCACCCAAGATAAAATTATCATTGATCCTCACTATTCAGAGTCTGTATCTTGTTCGATTGAAAGAGATCATGCCGTATATTGCCTTTATAGCTCCACCATCTCTTGTGGTTTTGAGAAAGCAAAGAGAGCATCAGGGACAGTTTGATGTGAAAGATCAGCAACTGAAATCAATTTTGAATCAGGGAAAACTAATAGAACAGGTAAGCTACCTACCTATAATTAACCTGACGATGTTTACTGTTTGCAGAAGTATGGCCACCTGTTCGACGCTATTGTTGTGAACACTGATTATGAACGTTCGCTCTCAGAGTTAAAAGCTATAGTTCGTAAGTTGGATACAGAGCCTCATTGGGTTCCTTCTACCTGGATAGAAGAATAAAGCAACATGTTGTAATAAGCCATTTCTAACTATTATTATCAAATATTTATTTGTCATAATCATTCAATTAACTCACATCTTTCTCTAGTCATTTAAATAACTCCGTGGGTATTCATGTGATGCTTTGTAAAACATTTATCATATTTTTGTTATTAATACATAATAAGCTGCCAATATATAAGAAATAAACTTATATTTCTCTTTTTCCCGAAATTGCATTCTTCTCACAAAGGTTTTGTTCATGAACAACCGCTGCGGCAGTCTGCTTAACGTCAAAATGAGAAAACAACCACTCACTCAACATAGCGAATAAAAATGATTTTTTTTTCAAAACTTTGGAGCTTTAAGAGTTCTTCTCATAGAATTCAGACGGCGATTAATTAGCTGCCTGTGTCTTTAGAGCAAGTTTAGAATCTGTTTACAATTCGAGTTTAATGTTTGAAAACATTGGGTTTTTTTCAATTCGTTGAGCTCTTCTTTGTTTTTCTATTTTTATTTACGAGACGAGTAAGATTTAAGCTTTACCAGTTTCAACTTAATTACAAATTCCCACTTTTGTTGGAAATTGACGTTGCTATCCATATGGTCTCTTAGAAAAGGTTCTGAAAGCTTAGAACTTCTTTCACGTCAGAGTATGAGATCTTCAAATTTATCTCTTTCTCGTCTTCATCTGAAGACCCTTCTATACTCTTTTTCTCGCTCACTATGTATATTTATATATGTATGTATATATATATATATATATCTTTATGTATATAAATTCATAAATAAAGTTAAACGGACTAGAATATGAAACTGAGTTCCGGATGAATTGAATGCCTACAGGCATATGACCCACAGCATATATACTTTATTGAATAGTTTTCATATGTTTTAATATATAAACTCACATCTGGTACAAATATTGTTTTAAGCGTATCTTTATGTATTCTCATTGCATCTACTGTAGGTTATGCTGATCTCTCGATTCACGAATTGGCCACATTGGAGTGTTCTATCGAGGTTCGTCTCATGCTTTGCAACCATTTTTGAGATAACCACTCTATAATTCCATTTTTTCTTTGTTGAAAATAACCTTCAAATTCGGAATTCCATGAAATCATAGCCATCTACGCTCATCAATTTTTGGAGCTTTAACTGATGATTGTTTGAGCACACAGCGAGCTTTACGCAAACTTCATAAGGGAATTTGAGAAGTTTATTTGGCAAGTTGAAGTATACATTTTAAAAGCTTTTTAACCCTTTTTAAGAAAAAAAGCCTAAGATGGATATCTGTCCTGAGGGAAAATGATGTTTTCATGTGATTTTCTTTCATAATTTTCTTCTTTTTCTTTCAATTTATCTTAACTATGACTGTTACATGCTTTGCCTCTCTCAGTTCCTCCGGAAAGTTGTGATAAGACTATGACAACAAAATTGAATCAACCGTCTCCCCCACGTTTGCAGAATCAAAATAAAAAACTTGGCTTCCACGCAAAAGTGACGTGAGATGCGGAAGACTAGAGCATGCCGATGATTTGTCGTTGGTGAATGGTTATGGTTGAGGAAGGAGAAAAAAGAATAATCTTAACTATTTTTTCTATATTTTTTCTATTATTCTTGTGTTAACTAAGAAACAAAGCGTTCGCCAAAACAATAATCCAGAACATATTCTGTTTGTATATGTGAAACTAACATGAATGTGGCATATATAGTTTAGACATGAGTATTTGAAACAGAAATTATAAATTTCCTTGAAGAAGGAAGAAAAAAAAATTTCATTCCGTTGAATCACATGAATTGCCGAGTTGCGTTAATCTTAATAGAATTTCGAAGAAGGCATGTTTATTGTTTTGATATGAGCAGCTAATGAGGAATTACAAAGACATGCCTGATAGCAGCTTTCTCTTCCTCTATATGGTCAACTCGCCGATATGCAATTTCCTTCTTAACCAATAGTTTCCAATTTTGTATATGAAAAGCAACAAGAAGCAAGATTCAAATCAAATTTTCTGAACTAAAGCATCTACTTCTTTCTTGAACGTGAAGCTTTTTTTTTTTGAAAATAGTTGTTCACACATGCTTTACACCAACTGCTATTTTCAACGAATTCCCTGTATTGAGAGGTATGCAGCTTTTTGACCCAAGTAAAGATAAAAAAAGATTTAAAAACCTCATTTCCTTCTATATTTGCATTAATGTTTCAAAAAGATTCGGAAAAAATAACTTTTCGAATAAATTCTCTTCTTTTTTTTAATGATTTTTCGAAGTTACATAAACAGTATATGGCTATCTCAACAGTGCTTTGCATTATTTAGAACGTAAAAAGAGCTTTAACAAGTAATTATAGGATTGGCCACATGGAAGCGGTTCAAGTTGAGGATGAGCATTCGGCTAACACTATACATGGAGCGAAAGCGCCAGTGTGAGTTTGTATCGAAAATACGCTTTGAAAATGTGTGAAAGCATGAATCTCGGGTATGAATGATGATAGCAGAAAGGTGAGATGATTGACTCTTTCTGTGAAATCTAGAAGTGAAGCCAGCTGTGTTCCAATGTTTTCAAGACGTTGATAGAGGATGTGAATAGCAATGAAATTTTCCTTTCGTTCAAATCTTCTTTTCAAAAATTGAAAGCTGCACAGCTTTAAGCTTAAGATGTTTCTTGAACTTTATTTATGATCTTTATTAGCAAAAAAGGAGACAGAGATTGGAGGAGATAAAAGGGAGGAGTGTAGGAGAAAGCCTCAGAACGTGGCTTATCGTGAATTCAATCATAACTCGTTGGCCAACGCTCATGGGAATTTTCATTTTGAGACCTGAACAAGTTCAATATAAAAATTTTATTGACTAATGTATTTTAACGTGTAAATATTTTACTTTAACGTCTTTTGTGAGAGAAAAAAATGTTATCGAATTTCGAGTTGGAGCATCATTTGAGTCCGGAATGTATCCATTTGAAGCTTCTATTCTTTAAGTAGATTTTTCTTGCATTTTTGCTTGTAAGGAGTGTAGAAGACGACAACGACAGAAGAAAAAAAGAAAGAGAAGAAGGAAAAAAAAGAAAAAGAAGAAGAAGAAGAAGATAAAAGCCATGTCTGTGTATATTTTGTGTGTCAGAATCCGGTAAACATCTTGTCTTGTATTACGAACACGCCAATTGTGAAAACTAACTCTCTTCAGCATAACATTACGTCTTCTTAGTCATGTCATGATGTGTCAATTCAATTCACAAATCACAAGAGCTCTTTCGTGCTTTATCCTTTTTTTTTCATTTTTTCCTCTTATATCTCTCAATTATTTTAAAATTTTCTCCACACATACATTTCTTTTGAATATCTGCTTCCATTCACGGAAAATATATTTGGAACCGAATATGAACTAGCAGATTCATAGCCACATCCTCATGTTCATTATGAATCTTTTGTAGTCATGAGGTCAAATGAGCAAAAAGCGCAAAACGGATCTCAGGGCTTGTAGTTAAGCTCACAACCTTTTGTTTCTTCATCAATCTTATTCTGATTGCTTCTTCTCGTACGCCTGCTGCAACTTTTCAATAATTTTTCATTTTTCGCTCTGTTAAGTTAAATGGCTATTCATCTTCTCGTTTTTTCTTGTGTGAAAGATAAAGAAAAAACATCTCATTCATCTTAGAGCTTATTCACATGTACATTTCAACAGAAACATTAGTCAAGAAATTTGCTTTAATTAAGCTTTTTCCATGATTATCTCACATACATTAGTGTGTTGCTTCACTAATCTTTTAATGTTGAATTCGTAAAAGAAGTGAATCTTGTCCATTTACCCTTTCAATCTTCAACCAATTCTCTTCAAACACAAAATTTCAATCACAAAAGTTCTTTTTTATTTCGGAAACTTTTTATGGGTGGAAGCAAGCATACGTGAACATCGTTCTGTAAAGCTTTTTCATGTTCTTCTTGTTTTCACACAAGGAGAATTATTGGTTTTCATAGTAGTTTTTTGAGCTGAAATCCCCAAGTGTCTGTGATATTTACGTACAAATGATTAATGCTCACCAACTTTCTTTTGCTCTTCTTCTTCAACTAGAAATTTGAATTTTCTTCGGCTGTTTTGTAAGCTCTTTTTTCATTTTCATTAATCCCATATAACAGTTGGCCATAGCAAAATAGATCGAAGTTAATTTGAAAATCAATTTATCCAATCAAAATCAATTTCAACACACAAAATCTTTGTGAACCTTTCATTGAAACTGCCAATTTTTTTTTGTTTGTGGTTTCTTCTTTCCAATTTTTTCTGAAGAACACAAAAAAAAAATTTCATCACAATGATCACAAAGAATTTGTTAGATGTTCAGAATGGGTGAGTGAACTGACGAAATTATTGTTTTACTGCAGTTGTCTCCTGTCTATTATATGTTTCATATCTGTAGAGTACTTTCGATATCTCATGTTTCGTTTTTCAGAACTATGCCAGAACAGGGTTTATCTTACATTACGAAGCCTGAGGGCGAAATGGATATGTTAATTGGGTTTTTCTTGATGAATGGCGTTTGTATAGGTTTGTATTAACTGCTTATATTTAAAAAGAAATCACGGATGGTCCCTTCGATGTACTATGCAATACGTGAAAATAAATGAAAGCAACCGCTCTGTCCAATCGTTTGGTCATAATGATAAGCTTTATGTACACGCGAGAACTGATTTCACGTGCAGTTCCACGTGGATTGTCATGCCATGCGATATATTGCACGAGCAAAGGGTTCTCAAAACTCAGTAAAGCAATATGAAATAAGAATAACTCTAAGAAAAAATAAAATGATGATTTATCTTTTTCAGTATTTTTTCTTCTCTTTGGTATGTGTGTTATATTCTCTTGTATGCGACGACGACCGAAGTTATTCCGAGCTTCACCTCCAGAAAATGCTCCACTTGCTCCAACGGTGAAGCCAAAAACTTCACCTGGTTTCAAAAGTAATAATTTTTCCTTTTATCTGAAATACACTAAATCGCTCACAGGTAACGTCGTTTCAAACATCATGTTCGTTTTCAATCAGTTTTGAAAAGAAAAAATTCGGCTCTTCCCTCATGTTCCATTCTCTAAAATGCTTTTTCAACTTTACATTTTTATAAAACTGTACTTTAAGGTCTTGTCAATAAAGCTATGAAATCGCCAAATCTTGCTCGATTAAGAGCTGCAAACGAAGTTCCGTCGTCAAAACGAGAGACAACTGTATCAGCGGAAGGCAATCAGGTAAGATAGAACTTAAACCATGAATACTTTATTAATCATCTTATATTTGCTCATTTGACGGTACGTTTTAAGATAGAAGTGCATGTTACTGACGACAAGTCGCCAGATCGTTCTTCCATGGGTCAGAACGCTAAACGAAAACCTGTTACTCAAGCTATTGTTGTTGATGAGACGCATTTTCCAGTAAGTCGAAGCTTTTCGTCATATTTAGTTCGATTCGATGAAATTTTTAGAGAGAAGAACGGAAATCAGTTATTCGTGAAAATCTTCTGGGACCATTGAGCTTTGATGACTTATATTACACTTAAATCAGATGATTTTCGAGTCAAAGATCTGGAATACGGGTGGCTGTAGATCTCATTGAATTTTTCAACTTTCAAGTTGTGAACTTGGCCATATTTTTGGCTTTTTATACTTTAAATTGAAATGATAACATTATTTCTACAAAGTCATATCTTGTGTATGAAATTAAAATAAAAAGATTAAAATTATTTTGTTTATTTTCAATTGAAAAGACGACAATCATATAGAACAGTGTATAATAATAATATCGGGTCAAAGTTTCAGACTCAAAGGAAACAGAGAGAGAGAGAGAGAGAGAGAGAGAGAGAGAGAGAGAGCGGAAAAGGGTGGGATGAGTTAATAGCATATTAATGATGTGATGTGATTGGCTAACGGTTACTGTAGGCTGATGATTTGTGTTCTAAACGGCTATTGTATCTCACAACTGATTAGACGGATTGAATAGGATCAAAAAGGAGTAGAATGAAATCAAAATGAATATGCAGGATAAGGGGCAGGGTAGAGAGGGGAGAAGGGAAGGACCGGGTTTTAGCGCACTTGGAAACACTGGGATCGAAAAAATACCAGTACGATATGACTAAAGTTATCTACAATAATAATCTAATCTTTTTCATTTGTTTTTGTTTATTCAAAGAATATTATTGGAAAATGATAGCTCAAGAAAGCTGCAGATATTTGAATTGTCTAAATGATTATCACCGGAATACAACAAATTGCAAAGTAAGAAATCTAGCTGAGACTAAACAATATAAAAATATATTTTTTAGAAAAAAAAACAACAAAACTAATTCCATTAAACACTAAAAGATGTATGTACACATCACCGGGGTGCAACATTCACCAAAAAATAATAAAAAAAATAAGTAAAAGACAACAGGAAAATTTCAAAATGAAACTGTGAAGGGAGTGGAGAGGGGCAGGGAAAGGGAGGGTGGTAAGAGAAAGGGGTAGTAGACCTATTGAACCGACTAAAAGATTGTGTGAGGATAACTGTTTAACCACACACCTCAGTATTCGTCAGCCGAACATTTTTTGTATTAACATAATTATAAAATTAAGATTAATACACAAAATATTCGGAAATCAGAAGAGCGAAAGACGGATTTTTCATCGCCTCAGCTAGATCAAATTTTAGATGAATTTTTTTTTCAGATTTGAAGATGATACGTAGAGGAAATAGTAAGACACGAACATCTAGCGAAGATCTAGCGGAGTCGAAAAATTAAATAAATGATTAAAATTACAACAATGTTCTATTTACAACTTTTGAGAGCTTCATGAAAATGAAATATAACCAATTTGGGTATTGTCTCATTTCATTTGATCTGATGAATATAGTTTAGGCGGGAGGATGAATGAATAATATACATATATATTCTGTAATTAGAAAGAAGGCTAATATCACATCTAAAGGTTGGGATTAGGAGGTTTCAGATTTGTGCAGCCGTAAATGACACAGCACGGAAAGATGTGTATGGAAACACTAGCTGGACTAGAGTAGAACTACGTTCAAAAACTGAAAACTGTGCTTGGAATATTAACTCTCAAAGAGAGATGAGAATCTCACAATGAGAGAGAGAGAGAGAAGGCTTATAGCCTAACAGTCACTACAACCACAGTTTTAAGAAATCTGAGGCAGCAAGAAAGTATCACCGGCACGCAGCAAAGCCATGAATATATACATACAGAAGGAAGAAATATGTATAAAATATACAAAAAAACAGACGAAAGAACTACACGAATAAACTAACCAAATGAGGTATGAGAGGAAATATTTTGGGAGTAAAAAAGAGAGAGAGAGAGAAACAGCATGTTGAATAAACTGGACAACTACTCGGATCACTACACAGGGCCAAATCACGGGGGTTTTATCGAATCGGAAACTAACCGGGAAAGAACTGACCGAAACAGAATGAGAATATATAGTTAAAACGTGTGTAATATATATATATATATATATGTATATATATGATCTATATAGATAAGAGTTATGTGGGCCAAAATATTATACATTTGTATGGTTTGTAAAACTCTTGGAGTATGAAAGATATAATTGTAAAGTTTGGTTCACGAGATAACTCATTGGAGAAACAGAACGAGAATTGAATTGAAAGAGAGAATTAATAAAAAATGAAAATATGAAGACCATGACGAGACTTTTTAAAGTCTTGTGTAAGCTGGTACAATTGAATGAATAACTTCCTCCTTAAACGGCGACGGCTGTTTCAGCTGCCTCCTGAAAAGCAATCTGAATTAGAAAACTATTTTTAAAAGTTGGTTGGAAAAATGTTTGTTAAATGAGATATTTAAGTTTGAAGAATGGATTTATAATCACCTTTCTCAGTCGTTCATTCAATTCACTAGCTTCTGTTTCTTCCATATCTTCATCTTCTACATATTCCTCCTTGCTATTCGATGAAGCACTCGTTGGCTGACTAGACGAATTTGACACATTCAGAGCCTGTAAGTTCTAGATATGACAATAGACGATTTCTAATCTACATGTTATGAATAATAAAAACTATACCTGAAGCCAATTGAGAACAATTTGATTGCTTTGTGAGACAGCATTACTTGTTTGCGGTGGTGCTGAGCTCACTGGAGTATTTGATAAAGCCAATAGGGATGTGGCATCAGCTAAAGCTGAAGGAGTAGGTCGTGCTCTGCCTGAAAATCGAATTGATAAGATTCTTTCCGATTCAAAATATATTGTGAGTTTTCTATTGTTGTGAGTAATTAGAGAATTTTAGAAATCAACCGATCTACAGGCGAGCACAAAAACCAAATGATAATCTTTGGAAGTGTAAACATTCACGTGAGGTATTACGTGAAGATTAGAAGCAACTCGTGAACTCAACGTGGCAGTATTTCAAAATATTTTTTTGAAATTATACTCTCTAATCTACTTTGTGTTTAATGAGCTCTATAATATTAAATGTAATTTGAAACGTACCACTAGGCGATTCTTCTCGAGCGTTGGTTTGACTGTTGTTAACAACGCATTTCCTCATATGTTTTTCCAATGTTGAATGAACAGAGAATGGCATATGACAGATGTAGCAATGGTAAGTTTCCTTTCCTTGCTGGCCATGAGTTCTCATGTGTCTCGTCAATTTGCTACTTTGGGCGCAAGCATATGGACATAGCTGGCATTTATAAGGCTTTTCTCCAGTATGACTACGTAGATGGACAATCAAATTAGAACGATTGGTGAAAACTTTCAAGCAATATGTACAACGTTCTTTTTTGACATTTAACTGTCGACGAGCTGCTGGCTCAGCTAATTCATTATCATCCACAACGATGAACTGCAAAGAAAATGACATTTTAATAAACATGTTGACTGAAACATACGGGCTCGCTGTCCTCTTCTGTTCTCTGGTTTTTTCGTGGAGTTGCTTCATCTTCAACTGGGCTACGACGGCGAACAGCTGCAGAACTTGGTCTTACTGGGTTAGGAGTAAATGCAGATGCTTCTTCAGTTTTTGGAATAGCATTGAACAATCCAGGCTGTTGAGCTGATAAACTGTTCAAGCCGAGGATAGCAGCAGCAGCGGCTGAATTGTTATAATGATGCATAGAACTATAATAGTCTTGCATAGCAGTGAGTACTTGTGGTTGCATCCAGAGCTGAAAAATAGTACTAACATTAAGATTCTCCATCTTCTAATGCTTACCCCAAGGTTTGAACTGTTAGCAATACCATTAACGGCGTTCATGTTGTTTTGACCCAATGATGTAGATGTGAAGGCGCTAGTTACATGTTCATCGTCAGTCTCCTCCGTTGGAGCTCTAAAAATGATAACATTAGCAATTTTACAGCGGGGGTTTGTTTTTACCTCTTGATATTCTTAATATCTCCTGTTTCTGAAGAAGCCTTCTCTGCAATCTCTTTTAAGCGTTCAGAACAGAAAGCGGATAAGTTGAAGGCGCTTTTAGCACTTGGTTGTAACACGCTTCCATTTTTTAAAGGTGTTGTTTCTCTGAACGTGCGAGCAAGGGAGAAAGAGTCCGAGTGAGAGTTTGGAGAGGATGTAGATGTGCATGAATGGTTATCAGCTAAATCTTCTTCACATATCCGAAGGGCGTGTGTTGTGTAGCAATGCTTAACCAAGTTCCAAATATCTCCAAATCGTTCTTTACAAGTATAGCATGTGACTGATCCACGACGAATGTTGTCTGAAATAAAAATTATAAGTAAGAGCAATGGCGAAAACAGCCGAATTGTTGGCAGCTTGAGTTTGTGGATGACTCTGACGTCACATTCAAATATTTATTTAAAATTTCTTTAATAAATGTTGTTCAGCATAAATGGCTTTCCCTATGCCTATTTGAAATTTTATTTTCTTTTTTTGTGTTTTCAAATATTGTGTGTGCTTTCTGTTGTGACGTCACAAGAACTTGAAGTCTGCGATCAAGCTCATTGAGCCTACAAAACAAACAAGAAGAAAGCCATAAACGGAAACATCTTCGTGTCTCTTTTACAACACATGAATTGCCAAGTTTTGATAAGTCAAAATGGAACTAGAAGTTAATCTTCTTGCACTAAAGTTTCCTTCTAAGTTGAACACTGGCGCATTCTTAAAATTTATAGGAATGTCCCTCGTTCTGTCCCATAATTCTGGAACAGCCAGCGATCGTTGACAAAACGAGAAAAAAAAGAAAGAAATGGTCGATCACGTAAAACTGCGTGTAGAGTCCTAGACAGAATCGCCGGTATTTGCCGTCTTCGACATGTTTGCTTTTCTCTTTTCGCTTACACAGTGCCTCCGGGGCCATTCAGCCACGCAAAGAAATGGCAAACAAATGCCTGTTGACAAGACGATTCTGACTGTCGAGGTTCTGGTCTTCATGACTTCAGAAAGCCTCACGGCGTATACGTGATTGAGCCGGAACGAGTCAATGAAATTGAAGATGATTGGTGACGCTGAATCTCTTCAACAAACGATTCTTAATCGTTAACCGACAAAATACAGAAGAAACTCGTGGGAAGCTTTCGTATTTTAATTATAGGTCCCGAAGTTCCATTTCAACGAAAATGTTGTTTACGAAACGATTGGGCCTCAATGGAAAAATGGTGATTTTGTGTGCACAGATGGGCACGTATGTATGATCACATCACTTGCTTCAGGGTCCTTTTATGGTATTTATTAAATGGCATAGACACATACAAACTCTCTCTCACAACCTCTGTCTCATTTAATCTTTCGCTCTGTGGGTTTTTTTCTGAACTTCTATCTCCCTCTATTTGGAATTACAGTGTTTGTTCGAGCGATAATCAAAATTTAAAAAAAGTTCACAACTTCTCGTCATGCTTCCGCTCTTTCTTCTCTAAATATCTGCTCCTTACATGGGCTAGTTAGCTCGAATAAACAGAAGAAGACATTCTTTTGAAGAGGGCAAAATTCGTCGACCATTTCGACCACCCAGAAGCCTTGTCCTCCTTACGCACTTTTTTAAAGAAAAAGGAGAAGAATATCCATCAAGCACTCTGTTTGCTTTCTTGTTATGGGAAGACGAAAATTCGCGATCGAAAGTTGGAAAGCGTTCGAAATCGTCTGGTCATTGGCAATATTTCCTTTGTTGTCAGCCTTGTGGAATCAGGTTTAAGATTTGTGAGAAAAAAGCTCTTCTTTATCTAACACAATCGCCCATGGTCAACCTTGAAAGATTCCAAAGTTTTGCGTACGGAAGAGAGAAGACAGATTATTTCGTTTCAAGAAAAAATCATTCGAAGCTTGAAGAAATGCAAAACGATAATGTCTGATGGCGATTTTTTCTTGGTCTCTCTCTAATTGCATCCGATTCTTTCTACCACTTTTCCCTCGAATATCATCTCTGAAAATGTTCAAAAAACCTTTGACTTCTCAATGGCTATTCAACTATTTGTACATCACATGACGAACTGACTTCGGCACAACCACGAGTCTCCTAAGTAAGCAAAAATCGCAAAACTCGGTTCGTTTCAAAAATCTGCCGGGACTGTCCGTATTGTCCCAAATTCTCCATTTTCGCTCAGACCATCAGTTGACTGTCACTTGACCATCTACTTTGTTTTTTTTCTTTGACGTTTACTCATTTAACAAAGCCCAACTGTGAATCATTCGGGGGCATCAAGGGTCGAGGAATAACATGTTGACGCTCACAATCTTACATGCAATGGAGTTTTCGTCATTTGGAAAGATTTCAAAGCTAGCAATTAACATAATTTTTAAAGTTGAATAGAAAGTTTGCGAAAATTTTTGATGGGGATGAAATTCTGTTGAATTAGCGTGAGATAGAAGAAGCCGAGGTTGGAACTGGTCCTGAGAATGCGAATGACGTTAGGTTAAGAAAATTTCGTATTAAACATAAAGGGAGGTATCTTTTGAGTTTCCTTTATATGAACATTAACTTTTGATTAAGTTTTCTTGTGTTGCTAAATTCCTCTCTCTCTATGTTTTTCCCTCCTTTCCGCTCTTTTTCTCTCTTTCTCTCTAGAACTCGATGTGGCAAGTTCTGCTTGATTGAGTCTGTCAATATGTGGTGATCGAGGTCTTTTGACTATACAGTAACCGAGAGTAAATAGAAGGAAGGAGAGATGGTAAAAATTGAAAAAAAAAGTCAAAGAGTGTCAGAGATTGAAAGAAGTGAAAGCTGGCAAATTGCGTAAGAGAGAGAGAGAAGGATGAGAGTGAAACTCTCATATTTCTTTAATATTTCTTTTTACTCTCTCTTTGTGCTTCAGTTTACGATCTCCCTCTATATCTTTTACTTTTTTTTTCAATTTTTGTATGCTGAGTGACTGTTGAATCTCTCTGGCATTTGCCCAGTTTTTCGTCGCCGGCTAACTTCGACCAGCGGCCAACATGGACAGAATGAATGGTAACCAAGTCAAATAAAAGAAGAGTTGAATCGTTCTATTTTCGATTTGGATTTCTATCTTTCTCTCATTCTCTCAATTTACTGTCTTCCATCTCGCAGACTCTTTAAATTTTTGTGTGTCTGAATCATCCAGAAGACTCGCTTTCTCTTTTTTTTCTCTCCTACGTCTTCTTCTTGTGATTATGACCATCAAACAGACGAAGAAAAGTAAGAGGATTGAAACAGTCGAGCCAATCGAAAACCAACTGACATAGAACATCAGCCAGCTGGACAAGATGGGAAAACTGGGGTTTATCAAAATATTTCTTACGTCCAAATGTAAACCAGTAAGGAGACGATGGTATGAAAAGGAAATAGTACATCTCATTAATTTGGCGGAAATTTTTTCTGCCGCCGGACATTCAAACACATCAGGAAAAGGTCTTTGTCTTGTCATCAGAAAAGGCTTTTGACCAGAATCTGAACCTAGCCTCTTCTCTCTTTCTCTCTCATATTTTCACTTCTCTTTCTTTGTTATCCACAGATGGTTAACACATTTTTGTCTGTCTTTTTTTCAATTGACAACAAAGAAATTTCGCGCAATTGCCATGCAAAAGAAGCATGTGGATCTAACCGTATTTGGTAGAAAAAAAAGAAAAAAATTGTTTGGGATATTTTGAGAAAAGATAGTTCTCCCATGGCTACTATTGAAAGAAGTACTGTCTTTTACAAGATCAATAATCAATTGATATGGGAATGAGTGATCAATGTTTGTCGGAAACATACCTAAATCGTTTGTGTCAGTCGTCACATCCATATTATAATTTAACAATAAGGGATTAGCTGATGTTGAACGTATGCGATGTTTCTGAATACTCATCATGAATTTTTTTTCTTCTATTATCAGAAAATACCAATGTTGGAGTGAAAGTTCTGCGCCTGCTTTGACGATCGAAATTGACGGGAGAAGTTTCCATCACTTCTGAAGGCGTCATTTTTCCTCCACAATTACTCGTCTTTAACAGTTTACATTAGGGAACAGTAAAATGAATAATTTTACTTTATGCTCAATGAATTGGCTGAACTGGGAAATAGGAAAGTTTAAATGACATTCTCCACACACGATGGTATCGTGATGGCCAGATGGACTACTAGCTGCACGTGATAAAGGAGAATCTGTTGCCTGAATATTCAAAGTATAAGTCTTGTCTATATTTGGAAAGCTGATACCTTCATATCTGTGAGATCGACCTCAGCGGCCGATTCTACTCCGCTATCTGAGGAAGCCATGGGAGTACCGCCTGTAAAGCAGACAGTTTAGTTATGAGAAACTGCAGATGGGCGTTGATTCCCCAGATTCTTTGCTCTTCCGCTCACTTTTCTCTCAAAATTCGATGTTGTCTCTACGAACATCTCTCAACCAATGGCTTTTTCTCTTTTCTTTTCTCTTTTTTGTGCTTGAACGGTAGTTTGTTTTGTTGATTTATGTGATAGTTGACACATCTCAAACTAACAAATTTTCTCTTCAAGACCATCTTGTATCAAACTTTTGATCTATTTCCTATCTACTCTCTATACTATTTATGTAACTACAAACTAAAGTAATTTACAATCAAGTAAGTGCGAACCACTGGTCTTGTCTGGCTGGCCTTCGCTATCGACTTCGCTTATGTTCTTCCGGCGACGTCTACTAGCTCCCTCTACTACCTTAAATATGCGATGTTGAAAATATAAACAAGAAGACAAGAATTACTTGTGACTTTGAGCGAGACGCACTGCTCATTTAAGTTTTTAATTTTCAGTTGTTTTTTTTTTTACAAATTCGGACAAGAATCCGAAATAGTGCTAACGCCTCCTGAAACACCCCAGTTGGTTAATGGGATGAGCTGATTCAGATGTTGAGGCGTAGCGAAAATCACCGGGGTTGAAGATTCACAGGGATAAGCTAAAAGTGCTGTTCCTGAAAGAACAACTGATTGAGTAAAGGTAACGAGTGACTGAACGAACCTCTGCTAGCTTTGCATACGAACAGAAGCTGATTATTGAAAAATTGAAAATCTCAACCACAAAAAATGGGAAGAGATTTAAAAAACGTGTGGATTTCTGAAAAAAACAAAAAGTAAGTATATGGCAAGATCAGAAACAACAAATATACGAAAGATGGCAAATAAGGAAAAAGCTTGAAACGAATAGATTATGCTTGAGCATATCAGCAGCAAAAAATTTAAACAAAGAAATAGAAAAGGGAAGGAGGGAAGTTGATAAGAGAATGCTTTAGGCTATGAAACAATAAGAAATTCAATTTTGAAGATATGAAAGAAAAAAGAGAAGAATATAATAAGAAACTATTCATTTGTTTTTGAAGATAAGAAAGGAAAATAAGCTTTTGACCGTACATGAAATAGAAAACAGTTGACTTGTCATACTTTCGTATGAAAAAAAAAGAAATAATGTACTAATAATTGAAATGGGGAGGAAAATGTGGAGAACAGAGAGAGAGAATGAATGAGAAAGATACAGAGAGAGGAAGAGAGTTGCAAGGAAGAACAAAAAACTGTCTCGTTCCTATCAATATCTCCAGAGCCTGTATCAATAGATTACAAATGGGGTACACACAATCCATCTGGACAGACTGGAGAAGAATATTAAAAGAGCACAAAAAAGGAAAAAAAAAAGAAATGAAAAATGACTGTGAAGCTGGATGTTTGTCCTTGTTGAGAATTGTGTTTCAACTGTTTGATTGGAAACAATGGGAGGCTAATATATCTCGGAAAATTAGAAAAAAAAAAGAAAAAAGAAAAAGAAGAAAGAATTGTTCGCAGTTGGGGCTGATATTGCTGAGGGGCAAATGTAATATTTTGAGTAATTTGTTAACGAAAGGGTCAATGTCTCAAATGCCTCAAGATGGAACAAGTTGGCAAGTTAGAAAAGACCAGCACGGGACCCTTGACGGACAATAGCAGTAGGAAACTGAAAACAGGATTTGTGACTGTCTATGTTCTTTCTTTCACCTAGCAGTAAGAGAGAGAATGGGGTAGACCTTTGCCGCCGTGCCATAGAAGTAAGTGAACCTCTCACACAGACAAACTTTCTCGTCCATTTTCTCTTTTTCACTAACACTTTCTGGCCACTTTTTTTTTCTTTTTTAACGTGCTGCAACAATAAACAGATAAAATTGGAAAGAGATTATTATTCTATATGAGAATTAGAGAAAATAGAAAAATTTGACGAGGGCATTGAGGAAAATTATCGGACACACAACTATTGGAGGGGAAAGCATAAGAGCGGACAGAAGGTAGAAAAGACCAGATCACAACGATTTTTTTCTCTTTTTCTCTCTTTCGCTTTTGATATGATTGTTACTCTTTATGTATGGAATGATAAAGAGTACCCTATCTAAAGACCTGAAGGAGTGTCCATTTTCGAAATTCGAATGTCAATTTTTCTTCATTCGACCATTTTCATTCTCTCTTTCAATAATAACATGATGACACTTGAGAGCGTTCATTTTTTTGGCAACCAAGCAGTTTCGAACTTGTATGTTTCAAAATTACGTAAAAAAGAATGGGGAATGAAGGCAAGTGAGTAGTACTTTAGCATACAGGAAACAGAGAGAGTTCTAAAAGTCAAAATGTTTCATCGCAAAAATACGTTATGTGCTCATTTACCATCTTTGGAAAGTTAATGATGGTAGCGATGATGAGACAGATTGTAAAGTGGTTACTGGTCACAAATTTTTGTGTTCTTCCTATCATTCTCATTGGTTTTCAATACGATCTTCCAACTCTCATCTTTCTTTCGATTCTGCTTCTTTTCCAATTAAGAAGACAGAACGAAGTCTACAGAGAGAGAGAAAGAGAGAGAGAGAGAAAAATGACAAAAAAGACAATTCAAGTATAAAGATTATTAAAAAAACTTTTACAAAATAAAAGAAAAATAAGTGTGTCAACAGCACTGAGAAAGAAACAAATAAATGGAATATATGGATGGAATAAAGATCGAAAACATTCTGAATCGCCCTCAGATCGTTTAAGGTTTTGTTGAAAATATTCTGATTACGTGAAAATTTTGATTCTAATCACTTCTGTGGGCAACGACAAAATCAGACGTAGGCTTGTCGTCGTTACCGACCAGACAGCGGAAAAGCCAAGCCCGGAAGACGGTCCGGTAGGGGCGGAGTCCACGCGGAAACTGGACGGAAAGCCCGTTTCCTCCCTCGTCCAACCCTCTCTCACGCAAATACAGACGAGAAAAGAGCAAATCACGTAGAAGAGAAAAAATGGTTGAAAGATGAAATACAGGAGGATTTTGAGATGAAAGAACGAAGAGAAAACTAACAGAGAGGAAACAAGATCATCAGAAGGTAAAAAGAGAAATTGGAAGGTAGAGAAGAAGAGAAAGAATGAAAGAGAAAATAATAAAAAATTGTATACGAATAGCGGGTGAAAGGAGGAGATTCTGCTGAACAGTAAGAGCATACTCGTCTTCCAGGATGATCATCTACTTGACTGATTTGTAATTTGAAGAGCATAAGCTATTAGGATTTCTTATAGAAACTGAAAGTTTGAATGTTGAACAGTGAAAACAGGAAAATTATTTCAGATGATGGATGTCCAAAGATGAAGCCATTTGATGGCAAGTGAAAAGAGATGAAAGTAAGTGTGTCGAATGATGTCTTACAGGCTTTCAAATGAAAGCAACAATCCACATCTCCCCCCCCCACCTCTCTTTCCAAAAAGGGAAAAGATATAAAGAAAAGCAAAAACTGGAGTGAGATGTCGATTAGCTGCCGATGAGAGAAAGAGAAATTTTCTAAGTAGGAAACTATGATTTGCAACATCTGTTCTCATCCTTGTCAAGCTTTTCCTTTTAAAAAACTTTTTAATACTTTTCCAATCTGGAAGATTGAAGTTTTGAGAACTTTTTTCTTGAATTTTTCTTCTTTCAAATGTTTTGGAGACAAATAACAAATGGCCACAAAATAGATATGGAATTGCTAGAAAATCGAGGACACTTTGAGCGACCCTGAAGACATCGAGGAAAATGAACAAAAAAAAGTGAATTGAAGAATATTAGACAATGTTTATAACAAAAAAAAGACAAGCAGATGAGAGAGGATACAAAACGGATGAGACTGGTGAAGCCGGTAGACGAGTGCGGCAGAAACAACCGAAAAAGGACCGAATAGAAGGTGAAATGCGGACGAGGTGGGGGGAGAGCCGGGGGAGGTGGAAGGGAAAGAAGAGGCGGAGGACCGGTTGGATGCCAACTCGCCTCTCTCTCACTTTCGTTGTCCCATGCTAACCATCATCAGCAGGAGAAAGGACGTCGACGACGACGCCGAGGCTACACTTTTCCTAGAGATAACGTACAAAAGAGAGAATCGTCGTTAAAAAGATTGTCGAAGCGTCTGGAGATTCAGACAACGATAGCAGAGTAAAAAAGAAGAAGAAACAGCCCAAGCAATTGGACGGACGGACGATAGTGACAGTCGTCAACGTCTTCGTTGCGCAATCACACGCGAATAGCCCTTCAGGCATTGTGAAGATGGAAAGTGAGAGCTGGTTGGTCCAGCCCACACTTTCGTGCTTGTTTCTTTTCTTTTTCCGGCTTTAGTAACGAAAGAGAAAAAAAAGAATGGAAAATCGAAAGGAATATCTCCTACGAAGAACGTGAGAGTGAAAACGAACGGCGTCTTACGTAAGAAAAGAAAAAGACGAAGGGAGGAAAAATTGAATAGTTTCAGTTGGTCATCTGCAGGTGAAGTTCATCAAATACATATGCCAATGAACTATACGATTGATGAGCTAAGGACTAAAATGGGTAGGCAGCTAACAATTTTTTGATAAGAAAAAGTATGCTGACCGCAAAATTTCTTCAGAAAACGATTGGAGCAAAATGTGCTGACCAAATATGGTTGTCTTTTACTATAGCTGCTATCTGAAACCGTGATTATAAATATCATGGGAAGAAAAAAAAGTAAAGAAAACGATAATTCCAGCCCTTGTATGAGCTGTACTAGTCATTTAAAATAGATCTGGATGTATATATAGATTAATAAGTATGAATTATGTAATTATCAAACATGGCATGTCCAGTTCTCGGAATGCGACCGCTCTATGCGTGGTCAACGCAACGAATAACCTTAACGTGCGTCAAACATCAAGAAATTAGCATTATGTCTATTAGTATCTCAAAAGTTTGATCGAAACTTTTTGGAAAGTTTAAAAATATCAAAAAAGTGCAGAGATGGATATGAAGAGATGTGTATGAATGTGAAAATGGACTTCATGATAATACCATATAATACTTATTGAATATTATTTTTTATGCTAAAAACGTTTGAATAATCAAATGATCTTAATGAAAACTGAAGGTGTCCAGAAACTACTGATAAGAGCATCTCAATTTCTTGACCGAAAAATCTAGGCTCCAGGACTGAGATAAGAAATTTTGAAAGAATGAAATATTCATTTTTCGGCCTGATAGATGCCAGCTGCTAATAGTAGTAGATAGTAGTACAAAAATGTACTTTGATAGTTAAAACTTATAGAAGCATTTGTCAATTTCAAATAGTCAAGAATAAGTGAACAAAAATATAAATTTTATAAAAAGAGAAGGAAAAAGGAAAAGTTTGGGCAGCAGAGGCAAATAACAAGAACATGACTGTGGAAAGGGTGAATGAAAATGTTTTCGGAGTTTCATGACAACTTTGACCATATGAGGAAAATAGATTGCAATGGCCTGCCTGTGCCATAAAAATATGTTGTTTTTCTATTTTTT